ATCCAACTACATTTATCACTTGTGTAGAGTTGCAGAACTACATCTGTTACTTCATTGTTCAAATTTTTTCCAACATCTCAAAGAAGCTTTCTGTTTTACCTCACAAGGTAGTTTAAAGTACCAAACTCCTTCAAGATTCTAGAAGTACTACATTTTTTAATTTTCCTTCATAGAAACAGACTCAAAAATGAATTTTTCTCCTTCTGTTTTCTTATAAAATCTGCTTGTTTTCTAGGCCTATGTTCTGTTCAACAACTTCAGTTTCCATTGGAGTGTGAGAGGTAGTGGAATCTCAAAATTGTTCCAGTTTTTTCTACAGATGGTTTCTGTTTGGAGCTTAACTTGTGCCTTCACAACTTTTTGTGATTTGATCGTTTCTTCCTAAAAGTAAAGAATTATTGATGTTATTGCCAACTTCTTTCCCTCAACTCAAATTGGCATTAATATTTATGAATGATTTCAAATTGTTTTTTTTTTCTTACTTCACCTTCATTTTTCATAGAATTTTCCTCCAGTGATGCCAAACCAATTAAAAAGTCAGAGTTGGATAGTTACCAATTGACTTCATCTTACTTTTTAATGAAACAACATTGTACAGAGTTTGGTGTAAATCAGAATTGTAGAATTATAAAATCCAACATGTTTACATGGTTTGTCATGGAATGACCTAAAGTGAGGAGTAATTTCTTAACATATAATTGTTTTTTGTTTACTGTTAATATTTACGCCATATGAAACTAGTTTTCAGCATAAAATATTCAATTTTCTGAAAGACAAAAATATTTATATTGACCATATATATAGAGCAGTAATGTAAGTCAACCCGCAACTTAGAAAAAAGCAGTTGAAATTGTGCTAAGTATGACGTAACGCATTGACTATATGTACTAACTGTAATATAAATAGTTTAAAGCACAATAATTAGAGTATCGAATAAGAAAGTTGAATATAAATTGTAGTTCTTAATCTGACTTATACAAAAGTATTTCATCACTTATGTGCAATTATGAAATGTAGTTTCCAGTATTGTTTTTCACTTTTAAAACATTAATTTGTTTATAACTAACTTCTTAATAATTTATCAAAAAGAATAAGCAAAGGTTTTTTTCCAGTAATTTCATTCTTCAGTAATAACGCAAGTGTGATGGCAACAAAACACATGTAGACACACATTCTGAATGTTTTCTTTTAAAACTATTATAATAGTATAAATGAAATTACAGTGTTGAATTTCTTCATACAAGTTTTTGTTGACTAACAAAAGCATTTCTAGTAGAGTTGGGAACTCGTGGGATTTGCTAATTAAACAATCATCAGGCTTGTTTTTCAGTTATTCTCACTTGAGATTAATTTTCCTATTTTCAACTTGTTTTGCTTTTTTTAAAGACATTTTCAAACTAACTTTCATTTGGTATGATAGAAATCATCAGATACAATAATTTAGAATTAAGTTACTTTTATAATCATAAGCTATTGTACGTGAAAGTGTAACATGTATGCAACTTAGTACAAAATCTATAAGATACTGAAAATACAATTAATAAAATTTTTAGGGTTTACCCCAACAAGTTTTTACATGATTACTCCAATAAAACAATATAAACAAATTTGTTATAAAAAATAATTGTCCATAGTTTTCATTTGATGAAACTAGTGGAGATTCTTGTCACAGTGTTTGATACGTATGTAATTCAGTGAAAAAGAAATTAATTCACTCTGATTCTAGAAAACAAAGGTAATACAATGGTTACTAGTTGCCAAGAAAACTTGTGATAATACTAGATTACCTCTTTGCAGAGATCAAAATGATTCATAAAAATGAAATTCAAGTATTATAAGAAATATTAAAAAACATGTTCGTATCAAAAGCATCCGTAATTATAGGCATTTTAGATTCTTTTTAATTCTGTAATTAACTTGAAAATCATAAGAATAATTAACAACTTTATAAGTGTAAAAAACACTAAGCTTTTAAGCTAGAAATCTTTTTCAGTAAATAATGATTTTGGGCCTGGCATGGCCAGGTGGTTAGGGTGCTAGACTCGTACTCTGCGGGTCATGAGTTCGAATCCCCATCACACCAAATATTCTCGCCCTTTCAGCCATGTGGGCATTATAATGTGATGGTCAGTCACACTATTTGTTGGTAAAAGAGTAGCCCAAGAGTTGGTGATGGGTGGTGATGACTATCTGCCTTCCCTCTTGTCTTACACTGCTAAATTAGGGATGGCTAATGCAAATAGCCTTCGTGTAGCTTTGAGCGAAATTAATAACAAACCAAATAATGATTTAACAGTGTTATTAGTCCATGTCTAGTAATGTCTAAGAAACACAGTTAAATGAGCAAGTTATTTAGCAATCAAATTTTGGGAGTGAATAAAGAATAAGTATGAACTTGCCATAACTTTATTTTATTAAAACAGTCTTATCCTAAGTAACATTGGTTACACCTTGAGATTGTAATAAGTAATCATCATGTAAAATATATACACACACACTGTTTTTTATGTTAAATACTTTTCCTTTAATTGCAAGTTTTTGGCCTTTATAATTGAGCCTTTATTGCTTAATGGGTTTTATTAATTGGTTAAATGGGTTTATAATAGACAACCTCATGGAATGTTTCTCTGTAGAAGACAACATTTCAATACACTTTTGTGGATCTTTGAAACTGTATTAAAATATTGTCTCCAACATAGAAATCTTCCAGCAGGTTGTCCATTATAAATCCATTTTACTAACTGATTCACCTGCTTACTATGACTTTGAAAGAGGCTTTTGTTAATACTCTCCACACATTATTATATCATCAAGTAAACAGTAACAAGTTTTATGTGGTGAAATTCACAGAATGCTTAGTCTTATGACTAAACAAATAGACCTAAGAGAAGTCTTGGAATAATATATAAAAATATAAATAGTAAAAAAATATGACTTGATTTTTTATACCTAATACTTAGTATAATGAACTACTCAAGCTCAAAACAGATTCTCCAGCTTTATTTGACTTGAAACTCATTTTGTATCCTATAAGTGATGTGAGTCACTCACTCTTAGCTTTTACTTGAATAAACTTACTGTGATGAAGTTAGCAGCATTGGCATAGTGATGGAAGGAAGCATTTACTCTACTATAGATTATCAATTTATTGCTCCTGGTAGAAATAGTATCTACTTTTCAGCATGAAATTAATTGCTCCTATTTTGTATTTTTAAAACCTTACAGGCAGTTACATGAGATACCAAAAATCCTGGCAAGGAACAAGTGTGATTTTGTTATTTAAGAACTGAAATTTTTATTTATAATATTTTAAAAGTAGCATAATATGCAAACTGGTGGTGTACTAATTTTCAAGTCATTTGTTGAATCTATTGAATCTATCAGATGCTTGATAATACTGAATTTCATACAGAAGTAATCTTGGATGTAATTTATGATACTTTGGGGCTGTGTTCTTTTTTTAGTAGAATTATTTTGTAATAAAATAAGTTTTCAAATATTTATCAGATATATGTCTTCAGTAAGATGTGATGGAAAATTATACAAGTAACATTTTTATTACTAGTTTGAATGCTTGAAAACAAATATTTGAACCCAAATCTTAAGAATTTGATTTTATATATATGTGTATATATATATATACACTGCGTGGTCACAAGTAAATAGACACCACCTTTTCAGAAAAAATGAAAATTTTCAGTCATAATCACATAATTTGATATATTTATAATTTAATTAATATCTGGTAGATCTTCTTTTCACTTCGTGGAGTTCGTTGATCCTTT